CATGGAAGCTCTCATCACCCAGGCCATCTCGCCAGAGAAGTAGATTGCCTTTGTGAGTGGAGGCTCTGTCACTGAGTTGCCACAGCTAATAGATGCTCATGCATCTGACACAAAGGAAAATAGACTTCCTGTACTCATGTAGGAGAGGTAATTCTGGAAGTGGCAGCTTAACTTTCAGGAATGAAAAGCCACTGTCGTGAAGAAACTATACACTATATCTAATTTTACACCAACTTGGAGTAGACCTTTTGAAATAGATGGGATTCCAGTTAACTTATCATTGGATACAGCCCTTTGCTGCTTCTACACTGGATCTCTGCTGGCCTTTGCCTCTTCTGTCCATTTACCTAGTTTATTTTAAAGGAACAAAGTTAGTCTCCATCATCCCATCCTGGGCCAAAGAATGAAATGTCTCAAATATAGCCTTATTAGGCTTTTATAAATTAACTTTTGATCAGTATTTTAATTCCTAATTAATGTAATCATACATGTTTTCTAAACAAAACAAAACCTTAACAATATATGATGAGGACAAATGTAAGAATCACCACACATTTTGATGGACATCTTAGGCAGATATTTGCATTATGCTCACTGAAATCAACGTAATCTATTTGTATTCAACTTCAGCTAAGTTGAATCTTATGTAAGCCTCAGACACACACCCGAACTAAGTGGGAAATGAGTAATGAATTCTGAGAGAAGAGTCACACCATAAAATATTTATTATGAAACAAAAGATATTTTTCTTCACTTGTAAGAGTCACAGTCAAGTACCCTTTAAGAAATTTTAAAAAATTATACCAAACATTAACATTGGTTTTACATTATAATACATGACATATGAAACACCACATCACAAACATTTTTAATACAACTCAAAGCATTTCCATTTGTTGTAAATTAATTTCTATTCTTGCAATGTATTCATTTTTTAAACAAGTAAACAAAACTATTCACCTGATTTTCATTTAAGTAACACTGCATGTGCAATGAATACAGTGAATTCTGGGAAAGAAATTTTTAAAAGTGCAATTCTATGCATGACTACTTAGACGTTCTATTGAATCCATCTGGACTTATTCCCAGGTAAGTGTGTATGGGACCACAGTCCAAGAGCACTGACCTTATTCTCAGCTGGAAAAAAAGCTAACATTAATCAGTGAGCTGATCTCGTAGAAGAAAACGAGTGGCCCTAAACCAACAAGCCACTCAAACGTTCAGATTCTTTTCAGGCCATCCACGGCTCTTCAAGAAGTTCCAAGCAGCAGCTGACTGTACAGACCTTACTAATCTGCCACTATAAGGCAACTGTAAAGGAAACTTTTTTTCACAAATGATTTAGAGCCATGGTGGTGCTTTGAAGATGATGGAAACAGGCAGGTGCCCTAATCCAATGACTTATGATGGGTTTTATGCTCACACATAAGTAAGTGCTGCATGGAGATCCTGGAATATACAGTGTTGGATCCTGCCTTCCTGCTAGTGGAAGGAAGTGGAATAATACTGGTGAAATAATTTCCCCTCCCCATTGCTCTCCCCCATGTGGCCCCCAAATCTGATTCAGTGTCCGGCTAAGATAACCCTCTGGTCCAATTTGGAAGGCATAGGAGGGCTGCCGGGAGGCACCTACAGTGGGGAAGTCCCGTAGCATGAGCTACAGAAGTAGTCTTCGGCATGTGCGATATTGCATCCAACTCACAAGGTTCTCTGGATCACAATACCCACATAAGGTGTGCGCTTTCACTCTTGTTTCATTGGCTGAGGGTATTTATTGTGCGTTTCTTACTTCTGCAGGTAACATGGGGTGGGGTGAGGAAGAAACAAAGTCTCAGCAGAGTGTCAATGTGTTGGTGTCAAGCTTCAGGAAAGAGAAGTATTATTTAATGAGAACACAAATCCTACAGTGCTGGACTTTTGACCATAAGCTGCACTAACAGTTAACACAGATGTTTTGTTTCTTTTAAATGGCTGCTGGAAACTTAGCTGACAATAGATGGAATCAGTCGGGTATATTACAGAATTATCCCTTGGGTCATGCTGGCTACTTGAAAATGTTCACTTCCCCATAGATATTAATTCTGATGGCATGAAGATGTATTTTCTTAAAGTAACTGCATTTTTACAAACAAATGGAAATCCATGAAGATGCCATGCCTGCTCCCCTCAGAAGCATTTAGTAGTCTTACTGTTTGTTTCCAATGCTTTTGGGTTTTTTAAAGAAGTCATCCTATGAGCTTCTTATTCTAGCTGTGCGAGGCTTTCTACATTCAGTTGCCTGGACAGATAACTTCCATTTGCATTACATATGAATCTTATTTTCTTGGGGTCCAAGTGAAACCACCAATATATTTGATATTTTGGGTTCTATTTAACTACTCTTACAAGGAAACTGGGCTGCAGTCCACCTGCCACTTGCGACTGCATTCCAAGGCAGGGGGGCAGAGTAACTTTCCACATGAGGGCCAAATTACATTTCAAAGAAACTTGGGGTGGGGGGCATTTTCCAGTGGTGAAGACAAAAGGGGAGAGGGCCAGAAATTAAAGGATGGAACAAAAGATCCAGGCATATCTTAGCTCAAGAGTCTTACTGCCAGTAATTCAGCCATAGTTGGGACGGGGGAGAGATTTCAAACTTTCAGAATGGGGGAGCAGAAAGTCAGCAAACCACAAGCTGATGTGTGGTTATGTAAAAGGGGTAGGCCATGAGAGGGGGTGATCATTTGTGGAACTCCAGAGGTTGGAACAGGACTCTAGAAGAGCTGCAGGGCCTGCACATTTGGATCCCTGTCCATGGATGACTATTTCTGAGGGCCCAGAGCCTTTGCAAAATAATGCAGTTTAACTTGAAAAGCACAGGTCAACAAAATGGAATAATTTAATAGGAATCAAAGCAGAGTATTCACTCTGATTCTTAAACCAGTTGAGGTAAACAATACTTCCTGCTTCTGACCGTTGTCAGGATCCTAGGAATGGCACACACATCTGAGGAGCTTTGGGCTTGTGTTTCTCAAACATCTGCCTTTCCATGCCAAGGAATAACTGCTCAGCGACACTGGGGTGGGGGGATTTTCAAAAGTGGTTTGCAAGGAGGGGATGCTCTTTGGAAGCAGGGGATCAGAAAACCCAGTATGTGTCTGCTGCCAGACATGCCTGAAGGAGCTTCTGGGATACCTGCCTCATGAGTTGAACATCAAAAGTGTCATCATTTCACGACCATGGCAAAAGATGATTTCCACCCTTATTTTAAGGGCAAAAACCTCTTCAGTGAGCAGGGTATCGGAAGCTGCCATATACAAGGCCGGGTGGTTCTTCCACCAACACCATCAACTCATTCTGCCATTTCTCAGGCGAAGGGCCGCTCCCATCACCAGTTACCTGGCCCCTTTTCTAAACTGGACATGTCAGGAATTGAACCCGGGGCCTTTTCCATGCAAGGAATATCTGTAAGCATTGCCCCCTGCCTATAATGTGAAGTTCCTAAGATTCTGTACAGTGCCTTGCCCAAGTATTCACACACACCCTTTGGACTCTTCCACTTTTTGATGTGTTACTACCTGGAATGAAATGGATTTAATTGGCCTTGTTACCACTTGGTGTACATGAGAAACCCAGGGCTGTGAAGCTGCAAAATATTTTTACTGTGGCACAAAAGCTCAGTAAACAGAAACAAACTGGCACTTGCTGGTTGCGTACAATTTACCTCTCAAGTTAATAGTGGGTATGAGCACCTTTGGCAACAAGTACAGCTGGGACTCTTCTTGGGTAAGTCTCTATCAGCTTTGTGCATCTGGGTCCTGCAGTATTTGCCCATTCTTCTGAGCAAAGCAGTTCCAACTGCCAGGTTGGATGGGGACTGTTGGCGAATAGCAGCATTGAAATCCTGGCACTAATTCTCAATCATTCTAAGACATTTAGGGTCTTCTTTCTAAACCACTTCAAACTTTGGTTCTAGGGTCTTTTTCCTCCTGCATTTATCCTGCATTTATCCCTGGTCCCTTGCAAGCGGAAAACAGTTTTCCTCTAGGATTGCCCTGTATATGGCTCCATCCATCTTGCTCTCACTCCTGACCAGGTTCCCAGGCCCTTTTGAGGAAAAGTGCTGCCGCAACCACATTTCACTGTGGGATGGTGTTCCCTGAGCAATGAGCGTGACTCTTACCATTCTGCAGCAAGGGCAAAAAAAATCCATTTGTACTTATTTATTAACCACACTAGCAGTCCTATACAGGACTCTGGGCTGTGACGTCATAGAACAGGGAGTGAATACTTATGCAGCCAACAAGTGCCAGTTTGTTTTTGTTTACTGCCACAATAAAAAATACTTTGTGCCTTCACAGTGTTCAGTAACTTGCGTCCATCGCTTGATAACAATACTATCTTGTGTATACCATGCGTTAATAATACCACTTCAATCTAGTTCAATTCCATGTTCTAAAAAAAATGTGGAAATGTCAAAAGGGAGTCAATTCTTCTGCAAGACACTGCAATTAACCAGGATTGGACTGCTTCACTTTCTATCCTCAGTGTGATTGTCAGTACAGCAATACGACATGTAGTTAGACTCAGGGCCAAGTGGTGAGAAAAGACCCTTCTAAAATATTATCTTGTGCCATGTTCCAAAACGTTCTCTCCATTGACTGTGAAGCATCTGAAGAGCACTTAATGGCTCGGGCATTTAATCACACACTCTTGTCTAACTGAAATGTAGGTGCCTCTTCATTATAATCCTTTGCCGCTGCGAAGCATGCACAGGAATGGAAGCATTATCAGGAGATGTTAATTCTAAGAGATATTTGTACAGGTGTTTTTGGCAACTGAACCAGATGAAAAGAAAACAGTTTATAAATACTGCCTGACATGCATGAGTCTTCAAAAACTATTTACAAATTAAGTTCAGCAAACTTTTCTTCCCAAAGTGTCCCCCTCTGCTCACAGTCTATTGTGGATATATCTCTTTTCTGCTTGTGTGCACACGTTTATTTTCCTGCTTCTTGAAGCTACACAGTCACTGCTGGGTACATCTTCTGTTCACTGTTGCTGTGAGGATAAGGAGACTGAATGGGCCTGTATCCACTCTGCAGACCATCCAGGAAAGGCGGCACAGGGGCCATGGGCATAGGGTCATGTTGCACTGCATACCCCACGTACTGTGGGTGCAAATATTGGCCTTGGTGAGGCACGATCTGTGTAGCTTGCTGGCAGTTCAGTACGGAGAAATTGGTTGGCATGTTGACGTACACATTGTTCATGGTCCCTTCCGGTAAGCAGCAGTTGGTTTGTGACCTGGTGGGGGGCGCCCTGGCCCCAGAGTTGGCGCTCGAACTAGAGCTGGCAGCAGTGCTTGACTGGCGCGAGGAGGAGCCCCGGGAGGTGCTGGCACTTGGGATCATGGGTATGGTCTCCATTATCCGATTACCTCCGGGAGCCCGGCTCTGCTGCGGCTCTTGCTTGGGTCGCAGGCATCGGCAGCAGCAGGCTGCTACCAGAGATCCCAGGATGATGAATGCAACAAACACGGACCCAACGATAAGGAACGGCACGTAAATGGGCACTGCCAACAGAAAGGAAACTTTTAAAAGACAGACCCAAACCAAATGCCATGCTCTAAAGAAACAAGCAGCAAGCAATGTGAATGGACATGCTTCGAGTAGGCCTGTAGCACAGGGCCTTTGTCAAAAAAGGCACTTCCTTTTCAGGCCCCCCTCTCCAAGCCCCACTACCCATCGGAATTCAAATACAGGGAGCCATGTTCTCATATCCTGTTCTTTCCCACTGCCATGCCACATCCTTGGCTGCCACTGGAACGGGTGAAACAAATGGTGTGGTGAAGTATTCTCATGCAACTTTCCATTCTTGCTTATTTAGAGGGGCGGGGATGGGAAGCAGAACAAGAGGATGCCACTTCTGGAGGCAGCACTATGCTTGGGGTAATGTCTAGTTCTGCCATCCGGTACACAGTGGACGGCTTCTACAGCTTTCATATAAAAATTCTCGAAGGTACCAGGAAGATACTCCACAAGTGTAGGATGTTATGTCAAAATATAATCAGGCATCATAACCAACATACAACTACTCTACCTCCAGTTTTGATGAATAAAATGTAATATAAAATGCATAACATGGTCAGAATTAACATTTGGCACTGCAGATACAGTATTTCCTAACTGGGCTCTTGCCCTGCCTTGTATAATTGAAAAAGCCACAAGGCATTCTTTCGCCCTGAGGGCAAAATTTACTTTCAGAGAAGTTCTTGGAAGCTGCATTCTAGTGATGGAAGGGCTCCCTGAAGAATGCTGGGAACAGTGGGGCTTTTTGCTGTCTAAAGACTTGCACCCTAAAGCTCTTACTAGCATTCACTAGGCCTTTTGACCTTTTAGAATGAGGACATACTGCACAAAAGTATGGAAACCACCAAATGATAAAGGATGGGGGGAAGCAAGGTGGGACAAAGGGAAGGAGCGTAGCCATCTGGGAAACTACCCAATAGCCAAATTTGGCTCCTAGAACTGAGGTTGCCTACCCTGGGCTAAGAGAACAAAGAAGGCCACATTACTCCAAGAATTAAGACTGCAACTGATGGGTGGAGTATATCCTAATAAATTCAGTAATGCTTACTTCTACATAGACACATATAGAACTGCACTGTTAGAAGTCTATTTACAAAAGCTATCTGAATGTGACAATAAACTAATAAAAAGCAAGGCTTTAAGGTGAAATTTGGCAGGGGGTAGTAATACCTGAACCACTGCTGTTGTGTGACCTTTATAGATTTCCATGGACTTGACCCTTATGCAAACCTCATTGAAATGAATGTACTGTCTACAACATGTGCTTTTTCCAGGAGTAAACAGCAAGAAAAATAAATAAAAGCAACCAGGGCTTTCTGTAAAAGAAGTTAAAGTGCAATGTTTACTTGTGCAATTCAATCATATAAATGTATTATTTGGAAGTGGTGCTTTTTCATTCATAATACAGTAGCAGGCTAGTTATATATGGAGTGCAATGCTATTTTGGACACCTTGTGTGTTAAGACTTTCCTTCTGTCTGGAATTTTGTTATGGATTTTCTCCTTTTAACTTGGAAGCAAAATTAATAGGAAAAAGTAGACTAGAATGCTAGTATGTTTGTCTCAGTCACGAATCATTTGAGATGTTCTGTGAAATGCTGCCATCTAGAATATTGTTGCTAATATGTTTGTACTTCCTACCAAAACAGAAGGGAAACACAGAATTCTGCCATTTGTATAGCCTAAATGAGCCGACATGTGAAATTACAGATGTGTCCAATGCTTGGCTTTTGCCACTTTTCTCAATTTCAGAAGGAAGAACTAAAGTACAGACAGTTTTTACACAAGTTTCCAGTTTCAGGATCATTTTACTTCCTTTTCCTTAAAAAACAAGTAAAGAACAATGTCCACTTATATGCTGAAGCCTGGGCTGAATCTCCCACAGCTCAGGTACTTTCCAAAGTACATCAAGGTAACAGAAGCAAACTCCATTTTATTCTTACAGCTGCAATGGTGCTATGATGTAAGGGAGTGTAAGGGTGCAAGCTATGCATTTTGCACAGAAAAAGGGTTCTACAACTTCTCACTTTCCCCAGCCAGCCCTGCTTGCTGGGTTATGTTGGAAGTTTCGGTACTTTTCTCTGGCAGGGGAATGCTGAGTGTTCCAGAACTTTTTTCTGGATGGGGAACAGAAAATACATAGATGCTAGCTCATCTTAAAAATAATGTGTAATTTGGCACCGAGAGTAACCAGCTTTTGGAGCTAAGTATTTTTCCTGGCAGGGAAAAGGAAGCAGTTCCTTCATGGGCAAACCTATGAGCTGGGCATTTTGTTCTTCACGGGAGGCAGAGGACAGCACCCCCCGCCCCTGCCCCATCTTCTGGCGAGCAACATACACTAAAGCATTCTTTAGTTTTGCATAATGGCTGAGAGACTAAATGAGGCCATCCCAGTGAGTCCAGATCTCACCTGGTTTGGACTACAGCTATCATTAGCATCGCCCTGCATGATCGATGGTCAGAAATGATGAGAGCTGAGGTCCAAACATCTGAAGAGCACTGTGGGCGGTTGCTACTTTACGTCATCCTGCTAGTCCCTCAGCCTCAGTCCTTGACCCTCATCTGCAATATGGGAAAAATGACACTGTCTTATTAGTCCAGACTGAAGATTAAATGAAGGCTAAATACCAATTCTTCACCATATTTTTAAACCATAGCACAAACACGTGGGGCCCCAATCAGGACCATGGCACAGAGCCAGGGGAGGCTTAAACTTTCCCACGTAGCCGTTTGTTCTTTCTAATTTGTCCCCTCCTACAAGCACTAAAAAGCAAGCAACTAGGCAAGCATTGGAAGGTTTGGTACCAATGGAGGGTTTGCTTGATTTTCAACCTCCATGCAGAGGACATCCTGGGAAAAGGGGAAAGTGGCAGGGCTGCATTAAATCTCCCACAAGCAGGTGTGGTGGTCCTGAACCCAATCCAGGTTCTGGGTGCTTACTTCAAGTAAAAGGAACATGAGTTGAACAGTACAAATTTAGCATACATGTGTTGTTTACTAGCCCTAAGATAATGTATGTGAAGCATTTGGGACACCCATTTTATTCATTATTATATTTATATCCTGCCTTCTTCCTACAAGGAACCTAAGGCAATTTACATAGTCCTCTGCCTGTCCATTTTTACACTCACAACAACCCTGGAAGGTAGGTTAGGTTAATCAGTTAGGTTCATGGTAGAGTATAAAGCAGAATGCAGATCTCCCAAGTCCCAGGCCATGATTCTAACCTCTGTGCCACACTTTCTCCGTTAAGAGTAAACTCGTAAGCTCGGGTTGGATCTTCTGCCCACATGACAGGACTTCCTCATCCTCTCCTTGATCCCTGCAGCCACTGCCCACCCCAAGTTTCAACAACCCTCCAAAGCTGATGTTGGGATGGCTGCAAAAGGGAGCGGGAAATCTGTTCTGCCCATGCTATGCTGGTGGAATAACACCACTGGATACAAGCCATTATGGCCAGAGTCTAAAATCACCTGGCTGGTGGATGCGAGCATTCAGTTAGGTGGTGCGCATAATGCCTCGTGCTACTTCCTTCCAGTGTTCCTTCCGGAATGAAGGCAATTGTGCTCAATCATGTTGAGCTTATCTAGACCTTTAGAGCCCAGATACTAAGCTCTGCTTAGCCGCCAAATAAGTAACATCATTATTTCCTTTCCTTTTCCTTGGATATACCAGTATCACCAGTAGCCTTGTGAAGTCATGAATTCTGTAACAAATTTAAGGAATCTTAGTCAAATAATCCTCTGACTTACAGCTGACTATAGACATAATTTATTATATCTGCACATGAATAAACACAGTGGATGGGATCCAAATTTGGGCACACACAATTCGGTTGATGGGACTGGGCTTCTCCCACCCTGTCCTATTTGTCATGGCAGCCTTTCCAGCCCACTAAAACACTGCACAGAGGAATAGAGGACCCTCTGAATAGTATGAAATGGATCCTCTGAATAACGTGAAAAGGAATATCCAACCCAAAAGTTCTGCAAGAGAATAACTGATTTCAGATGACACTCACATCACAGTAAGTAAGTGTGTGTATGTGTGAAGGGGGGGGGGGCATCCCCACCACTTGTGTGAGAGCAGAAAGACCCTAATGAGCTGGCATTTGCTATTTATGATTTTTATCATTGCTTGCATTATATAAATCTTTAAATACTGCTCAAATAATTGGAAGTGGGAAATGTAAGCATTAAAATATTTCTGAAAACAGTATGTCATTTAACTAGCTAACCCCAGTGGAACTCTGTCAGGTTCTGGCTATAATCCATCGTGCAAGCACTTTGAAACACATTTAGGTTAATGGCTTTACTGCACATAACCATCTTGAATTGCAACAGGGTGTTTGTTCTTTCATCCACATTCTCAAAAGTACTGTATCTCTCTGCCCAGCAAGTAGACATTTCGGTATACTGCCTGTAATGTTATACTGCAGCCTGTCCTAACCAAGTGCAAGCTACAAATCCCCAGAGAGCATGGTGTTTGCCATCCAGCACATCTGGACACAGAGTCATAGACCATGCCTCAGGAGGGTGCCATGTTGGAGAAGGCTTTCCTATAGAATCAGTCTATGGGAAGATGGATTACAGAGCTCAACTCCAGGAGGTTTGGAGTCTGACGAGGCTGCCATGGTCTCCTAAAAATAATTTGATAATGTATATACAGAATGAAGACATGGTTCAACCATCCTACTGATTTCAGTGGGAGATTCCAACAGATGCTCAGCTGTGCACTTATGCCTTTCACTCTGAAATCAGTAAGATCTGCAATGCATCAGAGATAAGGCCAGTTCCTGGGATGCATGCCTAGTTACATGCATGTAATAATTTGTTTTAAAGTTATGATTGATTGATTATTACATTTATATTTCCCCCTTTTTTGCTCTTGCAAGTAACCCAATGTGGCTTCTGCAATCTTCCTTCCCTGCACTTTATCCTCACAATACATCTGTGAGATAGATTAGGCTTAGAGTCTGTGACTGGCCCTAAGTGACTCAGTGAATTGCATGGCTGAAGGGAGTCTCAGACCTGGACCTCTCAGGTCCCAGCCCAACCCTCTTAAGTACTACACCATTCTGGCTTTCCAAAACCAGCAACCTCAAAGTGCTTCACTTTGGCTGACTCCTGTCCTTCATAAATAGTTTGGCCTTGGTCATGCCCCATATAATCAGGAAACCTTTTTCCATGACTGATGTATAAAGGAAGTTGTTTCCTTTGAAATCCCCTTTCCCAACATGCAACTTCACACACATATCTCATCTCTTTTAGATCTCTGGCCTTCATGATCTTCTTCAGAGATAAGCAAATGCCGTTTCGATAGCTAGATGTCAGAACCTTGAACCACGTTACTTGAAACAACATGAAGTTAACCTGCAGTCTAGAAAGCAGGCTGACTAGTGCCTTTTGAAGTTAATTGGGTTGTTCCAAAGCAAATGCCTTGTGGACTTGTGATACCGATGGTGCTCTTAGATGATTTGGGTCAGAAAAGTTAGGGAACAAAAGGATAAAGAGGCCACTGGAACTTCAGAGCAGTAAATGGGGCTTGGCTTATTGCTGTGAGAAACTTTTCTGAGATGTGGTGATGTGAACTGCTTACCAGGTAGCTTTGGAAAGAAGTTCTGGGAGACTCGTGGAAGTGGAAGTTGCAGGAGGGTTGGGCTAATCAGACCTCAAGTGTACGTACCCCTTTCAGGCATATCTGGATGGTGTGTGCTCTCTTGGCAGCCCAAGGGGAGCAATTTGAAGTAACTGCCCAGTTTCTAAGAGCTGAAAGGCAAAACTACTGCAAGGGCAGCCACCAGGTTGCATAGGCATGCAGGCACAGAAGTGCTCCCCCAGAATTTTTAAATTTCTCTTCCTTCCTCCGTTTTGAGAAATGCAAGGTTTCCCAGCTGTTGAGTTTTAGGAAAGCAAAGGGAAAGTTTTTGCTTCATGGTCTGGAAAAAAGTAACACCAATCATTTCCACTGATCGTGGAAATCCAAAGTAAGATTATTGCTGCATTTTATGCTGGCCTGTTTTTGAAGACTGTTTGGAAACTGCCTCTACTGCATAATCAGTGGCCATGTTATGGGGTGGGAGAAGGTGACAGGTGTGTTCACATATCACACTAAACCACCCTGGGAATTAAGCCACTTATGGTATATTGTTTGCTGGCCAATCCATGATATACCCAACAGATGGACGGGTGCACTGTGGGCTGTTCTCCCACATCGTCCTCTTCATTCCTCTAGCCGGCATGCCAATATCCTTCACAGCAGAACACGTCTTGTCTCCCTTTTTCCACTCTGATCACTACACCTTTTCATTCCTCCTTTCCACCTTTTTTAATCTTTGGAGCCCCCCAAAAAAGAGTTGGTGTGTTTCTTTCCAGCCCATGGAAGATGTGCGACTGTGTTCATCATCTTCACCATCATCTCCTCTTTCTTTTGCAAGTGCAATAGCAACAGTGACAAGGCAAAGATGCCTATTAGCCAGCCTGCACAGGGTTGCAGAAGCCTGGGAGAGACGCAGCACTAAAACTAAGAGAAGGGAGAGACATAGCAAGATATCAGGAGCACCAAAAGGAGGAAGCAAAGGAGGAAATGCACTAAAAGCAGGAGGGGGCAATACCTCCCCTTTGGCAATGTGACCCTCCAGCTCTTAAATGCTGAACTGACATTTCTCAGTGTCTTCCACTTTTTCAAGACTTCTCTGATTCTCCAGTTATTCCAGAAAGGGGAGGTATTAATTCTCCCTGCTCCAGGTTTTTGCAGTACTTTCCCCTGCAGCTACTGTTGCAGTTTACTTTCCTTCCCTAAACCTTAGACAAACCTACAGAAATGTCTGCAAATTTATTGGCTGGAAAGTAACTGAATAGGAAATTTGTGCACCTGCATTAACTGCTCCATTACTGCAGGTGTGCCAGTTGTCCTCCCATTTGCTTCCTAGACCTTTCATTGTTGAAAATGTCCCTTCCATTTCATTTCCAGTCATTAAATGTGAATATACAGGTGCCTTATTTTAGAACTGCCAGGGAATCACAGTAACTACAGCAGTAAGTGCTCTGAAAAGGAACCATGAAAAGTGGAAGAATCAATAGTGGAGAGTAGTTAGAGAGGCAGGGAAGTGTTTAAAAGGTGCAAGGTACTGAACTGTCAGCACTTACAGTCAAGGTGATTACATCACCCAGAGGGAGATATTTCTCCCACTTGAGGCATTTTCTTTTGCTGGTTTCCCCTGCCCCTCACCTTGTCAATTATCCCACTTCACTGCTTTCTCTGACAACTGAAACAGACAAGACAATTGACCAGGCAAGACTACACCAGAAAGTCATCTGTGCACTTGCAAAAGACTGACAAAGGAAAGAAAAGAAAAATCCAAACCCAGTTGCACATTTTTAAGGCACTAAAACATTTTAAAAGCTAGGGAACAAATGATGGACCCTCCAAATTGGTGGATTGGCAATCACTGTTAAAAGCGAGTGGCACAGGCATTTCTGCTATGAAGTCGTTCTGTAGCTGGTTGCCACAACCCGCCATAAAACCGCTTTCCCAGGTCCAAGCAACTTGGCAAGCCACCATGAGGTTGTGAACAAACCTTAAACAAGTTATGGGTTCCCAGAGTGATTTGTGGAAAACTAAGCTACCATACTGAAACTGTGCTGGTTCATACAACATGACTACCCACTTTGATTGATCACCACTGGTGGGTTGTTGTATTATATGAATCAGGTGCTCTCATATGAACCCAGGTCTCATCCTAGCCCCCTTGCCAATCTGTTTTTGGGTCCAGTTCAAAGAAAGCCCTTCATGGGTTAAGACTTGAATACTTCAAGGCCTCCCTTGCCCAACATGAACCTACCCAGTCTCTGACTCAGCTTCAAAGGACCATCCTTCTTCAGAGAAGCCAGAGGTGGTTGAAGTGGCACAGGCCTTTTATGAATCAGTCCGACATTTATGGAATGTTCTCCCCAAGGAAAGTGACCAACTTTTTGTTGCCAAAGACACACTTACTTTCCCAGGCATTTGCATATTAGCATCCAAATTGCGGTGGGCTACATCTATGATGTTCCTTCTAGGGTTTTTTAATTTACGAAAGAACTCGCCCTTGGCTCTAAGAATGAATTGCACATTTATTTAAATTAGGTGGAGAACCTAACCTGAGAACCCTGAATATCATAGCACCAAATGGCCTTGCAGATTTTCAACAGAGTATTTTTAACCCTTGCTTTTGAACTTAATACCAGTGCATTTGGGGGTACAGTCCTGCGTGTGTTTAGACAGAAAAAGGTTCTACATCCCCCAACATAGCTGAAAGTTGTAGAGCTTTTTTCCATTTGAGCACACATAGGACTGTACTCTTAAACTGTGCTCCTGAACTTAAAAGAGCTACAAGTTTTCATTTTGAGCATGACTGACAATCTGTCATAACCTGTTGGTGTCTAAGTGAAGCAAGGATGAATTTGGGGGAAGAAAGGGTGAACTAGAATACAGATCACTCTATTTAAAAACTGCTGCTTGTCATCCTTCAGCAACAACATCCATGTGCACCCAAAGAGTGTGAGTAGCCCAGACACACTTTTTAGCATCATCTGTGAATCTGCCCTCAGACCACTTACAAATTCCCCTCATTTATTTATTTACTTTTGAATGCAAAGCTGCACTGGTTTCAGTCTGCACTTGCCATTTTTGTTAAAAACAGTTCTTTCCACGCCACAGCACCAGCATTAAGCAGCACCGCAGGCCAGGCGCTACAAACATGGGTTGGGAAAACACCCAGATTCTCTCCATGTGCTCCTAGTTTTGTGGCAGCAAAGCAGGTGGGCTGCCCTTCACTTAGAGTAATTCCCACTGAACTCAGCGGAGCTTAGGCATGGCATTGCACTGGCGGGAAGAAAACCGGGCTTACGTGCACAGACAACTTGTTGGCATAATGGAGCCAACAAGGCGGCGCTAAGAGACAAGTGCGGCTTCAGCGGGACGTGTCTGGGGAGTGGGTGCGGAGACCCGCCTGTCCTACACCGCTGGGCCAAGCCAGGCTCCACAAGTCATGCAGAGGCGAGACCAGCGCTTCGTACCTGCTGCGCCTTCCGGCAGGTCCTTGTCCGGCCGGCCGTGCTCGGCTCCCCCTTGCTGCCGGTCGTTGTCGCACACGCCCTGGTCCAGGCGCGCCTCCGGGCGGGAGCAGCAGTAGCGGAGCGCGCAGGTGCCGCAACAGATGGTGGCGTCGCCATCGTCGAAGTGCTCCGGACACTGGAACCCGTCCCGCCACGCCGCCGCGTCCTGCCAGCCGTGGCAGTACTCGCCGCTGGCCCGCGCGCCCCGCGCCGTCAGCGCGACCAACAGGAGCAGCGGCAGAGCCCGCCGGAAGGAAGGGCGCCCCCTCCGCATGGCACCGCGAGGGGGCGGCGGCAGAGCCGGGGGCCCGCCGCCGGGCCGTCCTCTCGGGTCTTGCCGCTCGCCGGGAAGGGGCCGCCGCGCCCGCGCGAGGCGCGTGGCTCCGGGCGCGACGAGCTCCAAGCGAGCCCTGGGCGTGCGTGCCGAGGGCACCTGGCTGCGCCTGCGGCTGTGCGGCTTGTTCTCTTGGCCGGGGCGTCGCGGGCACCCTTTGCTTGGGCGCCGGGTCAACGCACGGACTCCGGAGCGGCCAGCCACCGACTCCGAGGCGTGCGAGGAACGGAGTCGTGCAATCTCCGGGCAAGGAAGGCGTCCCGGTCTGCAGAGGGCTCAGTCCGACTGAAGCCACGCGGAACAGCCCACCCGGTGGTTAGGGGGCAAGCGAGCGGCAATTACGCCCCACGCGCCCGCGGGGAATCTCACCCAACAAGCCCAGCGGCATCCAAGACCTCTCCTAGGAGGAGGCGCTTTGCCGTGGAGTCATTTGCTGCTGCCGGCGGCGCCTCCCCAGTTCCGGGCCCTCGGAGAACAGTTGGCTGTTGAGAAGCCGGCGCGGGACTTGGTTTCTCATGTGTCCGAGGCGAGCCGCAGAGGCAGCGCCGGCAGGAGGCGTAAAAGCGGCGAGGGAAGGAAGCGAGGTTCGGCTTCTCGAGGAAGACACTTCAGAGGAACTCCCCTCCGCCGGCGTAGCCGTCACTCGCTCAAGTCCTGCAGCGGGCAGGACGCCACAAGCGGGATTCTGGAGGGTGGGCGATGCCCCGGGCAGGCGGGACGGAGCGATGCACTCCGGGAACGTGGTGCACGGGCCAGGTCCTTGCGGGGGTGCGGGTCTCGGTCGTGGGCGGCTGGACGAGTCAGCGGGAAAGCCGCCGAGACGACGGGTCTGCTTCCCCTCCCGCGCCCACTCTCCTTCCAACCGCGTCTCCCGGCAGGGATGCGTCGTCGGCTGCTTCGCACCCCCCCTCACTTCCCGCCTCCCCGAGCCCGGAAAGGAGGGACGTCGCTTATCCAAAAGCAGTGTGCGGAGCTAGCCACGCCAGCGCAGCTTCGCGAGGGACTCGCTACTGGCCAGCGCGGCGCAAGAAGCGGAGCTGCCGGGCAGGAGAGGCGCGAGGTGGCGGCGCGCGCGATGCGTCTCTCCCGGGTCTCCTTTTCGCCACTTCCTTGCCCACGCCAGAGACTCCCCTGTCGGCCGCCAGCTCGTCGTCCTCTCTGGCCGCTCACTTGGCGAAGCCAGCCGGAGCCCTCCCGCCTCTCCTGCGAGGAGACAACGCGGGCAGCAGCGCCTGGCGCTACATCCAGCCAGCGCTCCCCGAGGCAGGAGCCGAGTAGCAGCCCGCAAAACTCGCGACGCGGTTCTCCTCCGGAGCCGGTCGCTGCTGCAGCCAAGAGCGACCGGTGCGCGCGGGCTCCCTCCACGACTCCTGCGCTCACTTGCTTTCTCTGTTGTTGTTATGGGCACCCTGCACTCTCTCGGGCGCGCATGCGCCTGGCTGCTGGCTGCGCTCGCTCCCCTCGTTCTGAGCGGAGAGCTTCTCCCAAGGACGGTCCGCGACGTTTTGCTGCCTAACCCAGGAGAGAAAATTGCACCCCGCCGCAATACACACGCTGTCATGTAGTATTCAGGGGGCGGGCCCAGGTTCTTCGTGAAACTCAGGGGATCGCTTGGCCCAATCACAAGCTCTCCGCCTAACTTACCTTTCGGGATTGTTGTGAGGTTAAAATGGAGAGGGCGAAAAGGATTGTGTGAGCCCTCATTCAGAAGAAGTCAACCCTAGCATGCAAAAGGACCACCTGTGCGTGGTATTTTTTAAGACTAGGCACGCATGGACATTCCATGAACAAAAATACCATGCATCCAAGGACAGCTAATGGCCCCCTTGGCTTTTGTCTATTGAGTAGTGTGTGAATCTAAATTAAAATGCCTTGCTTTGAGATTAAATTTACAGAGACCTTGACAAACCAGCTAAATCTGCAGTTCTGTGTGCACTTACTTGACAGATATTGACCACAGTAGAACTGACTTCTTGCATAGCATTATTGTGCTCTCTCTGCCACCTTCTCAAAGTTAAACATAGCCAAGTCCTTCCGTCTTTCTTCCTAGCACTTTGTTTCCAATCCCGTGATTATCTCTGTTTTCATGCCAATTTATCTGAATCTTTCTTGAAGTGTGGTGCCCAAAACTTCATTCAGTGTTTGAGGGTGAGGTCCAAACAACACAGACTACAGTGGATCAATTACTGCTCAGAATTTTGAAACTACACCTCTATTGATGCAAACTAAAATTGCATTCGCTTATTTTGCAGCCACATCACTCTGCTGATCATATGCACCTTGTGACTGAGTACAACTCCAAGGTCCTTTTTACATGTACTGCCCGTCTGCCCGCTCACTTGGCCCTATCTTTGTAGTATGTTTTTATTTAAATAAAAAATTTCAACCTATCTCACTGGGTTGTGTGGTGGAAATGACTGGACACACCGGCCCTTCCAACTGGCCACCAGAGGGCAGTTGTGTGGTCATTTCTGTGCTGCGCTATCTGGAGAAAGAAAGTAAATGAAGAGGCAGAAGTAATTGCTCTCTTGTTTCTCTGTAGGCAGCACCATGAGCACACTCCTCCCTGGAACAGTGGCCAGAGAGGGTGACCAAAAGAGGAATCGGGAGCAGGTTTCTCCTACTCTCCTCCAACAAAGCAGCAGAATTCACCAGAGGAAGAATTTCTGGGAGTGCGAACTTCCTTGCTGGTTCCGTCCGCTCTCTTCCATCCTCTGCTGCAGAGCCAGGGAAAGGGGATGGTGGAGAGATTTCTGTTGCAGTTTATTATTTAATCATTTATCCTCATCAGTATCACCTGCTGATCTGCTGCCATTCCTTAGCACAAAAGTGACAGTGATAAGCATGTAATGTATGACTAGAGCCACATCCATGGCTCAGCGCAGGTGGCTGTTCCAAGAGAAAACTTCCGTGTGCTCCCCGTATCACCAGCACTGAGAAATTCCAGGAAATGCGCTTCCCCGTTCAGTTTGCTTTCAGGAGAAGAGCACTGAAAACTCTTTGACCGTATCTGATTTAGTAAAAAACATACAGGCAGAGCACAAGTGTCAGTCCCTCCATGCAACTTCCTGTGCCAGACCAATAGACAGAAGGCAGTTGGGATCCATTCTGTGAAGGAAATTAGGAGGGTGAGTACCCGGAGGAGGGCTTTCTCTGCGGTGGCACCCAATCTATGGAATGCGCTCCCCAGAGAGGTCCGCCTGGCGCCGTCGTTGTTTGTTTTTTGGTGCCAGGCAAAGACTTTTTTATTCAAACGTTATTTTAATTGTTAATATTATTTATTTATTTTATTCTTTGGCCAGGGCGACTTAATTTATATTGTTTTATAGGATTCTATTTATTTATGGTTGTGAGCCGCCCCGAGGCTTCGGCGAATGGGGCGGCATAGAAGTTCCCTAAATAGATAGATAGATAGATAGATAGATAGATAGATAGATCAATCGATCGATCTCTGGGTGATTTGCAGTAGATCCACAAGGATTTCTGAATTCTGTTTGTTTAATAACAGTAATCACACACGCATATTCTATAAATTAGTTGCAATGAAGAAAGCCTGGAATAACTAGGCACTGAGTTTTGTCTTGACTTGAAGGTTCAGTTCAATTTCAGTGCTCAGAACAAATTCATGTACTCAGCAGTTGCTTTCAAGGCATCCTGCTCACGTATGTTTTTCCTGTTCTTAGCTCCAGTTGGTGAATCTTGGGGTTTTAATAGAACATAAAGTAAGTTCTGCGCACTGCGGCTATACGGCCGGCTGCACCCAAGATCCTTCCCCTTCAGCTAACTCAAAGCTTTTTGTCCCCCTCCCTTCACCCATCTTCCTTCCAAAATCTCACCTGCTGCTTCTCACACAGAATCTGCCTAGGGGAACACACCCCTGCAGGTTAACAGCCCATTCAGAGAAACATCCATAGCTATCACCAAACATTAAGACTCTTTTGTCAAACTCCAGACTTCCTTCTCAAGTCACTTGAGGCAAAGCCAAAGTAAGCCATTCATTCATAGTAATCAAAAAGGAAATGCACAAGGGCACCTGCTTGGTTGCACTGTGCTAAAAAGTCTTTTGTTTAAGCCAAGAGTGAAGGGTTGCTTCACATAGAACAGATTCTCTACATAGGCACTGCATTTCCTCCAAGGAGCTTATGGTCCCCTGACCCAGGATCACCTAATGAGAGGGTTTGAACACCAGTGAGATCTGCAGCATCGGTCCATAACATCATGGAATTGTGGAGGGGGAGCTTTAAAGCCATCACTACCCACTCCATTGGCCAGGCCCATGCCAGAGTGCTGAGTAGAAAGACGCTCCCCTTTGAAATGAGTCTTTCTGACTGTGATTGTTTAGGCCAAAACCTGCCATTGGTTGCACCTCTGAGGACACCCGTTTCTCCTATAAATCACTGGTACCTCCATGACTAGAGAATGGTTGTGTTCTATGGAGGTCCATCCATATATACTATTTTGTTTTTAGCCTTTTAGTGGTAGTATTTATTTGTTATATCACACCTTTTTTCTTACAGAGAACTCAAAGTGGCTTACATAATTTTCCTCTTTCTGCACTCAGTCTTATCACACAACAACAATCCTGTGAGGTAGATTGCAAGCCTGTGACTGGCTCAAAGTCACCCAGCTGGCTCCATGGCTCAGCAGAACCCAGATTGCCCGAGTCCCAGATCCACGCTCTTAACCACTGCACCACACCCAATAGGTCCTACAAGATTTTCTTCCTCTCCTTGTTAACCTTACAACAACCCTGCAAGCTGGGTTAGTTACCCCATGAGCTTCATGGCTGAGCAGGGATTGGACACTCTGGCCACTGTGCCACACTGGCTGTCCTGCACTTTGGTAGATGAGTGTGGCTTTGCTGTTTCCAAAACTCACCATGATCTGGGATGCTTCTGGAGTTTATTATAAAATTTATTGTCCTGCTCTGAGCAAATTGG